ATCAATGCACTTACAATGCATGGCAATTAGAGTTCAATTTTTTTATTAAAAAAAATTAAATAATAATTTTTTTATAAAAAAAATATTCATTATTATTTTTTTTTAAAATAATTTGGAACCGGAACCGCCGGTTCAAAAATTTTGGAACCGGGCCCGTAGGCCACGGGCCGGTTCCGGTTCCGAACCGCGGGCCTGGTCAACGGGCCGGGCCCGGGTTTGACCAGGCCGGGCCCGGGTTTGACCAGGCCGGTTCCGATCCAAAATCGGCCCGTGGCCATGACTAGCCTTACCCAACCCAACTTGCCTTCGGTAGTGCGACAAATGAAGTTTGCATATTCATACTATTCATCTGTTCTATCGACTAACCGTCAAGGTATTTGGCCTGGTAGTAAAAGAGTCACCCGTCTTTCGACAGGTCATGAGTTCGATTTACGTTGTGAGCGAACTTCCAAAACAACCAATGTTGTGCTGTCTAATCGCGGCATATCTCGTGTTGAGAGACTTCCTGGCTATCGGCATTTTAGTGGGGCTATAGTAAGGGGCTCGCCAATCTTGAACATTTGGGTCATGAATTATGCAGCATCGTTTCGAGGGTAAGACCCTTATGGTAAATACCCGCATGGAGATCACTAGCGTCGGCAGCACCTCTGTGTCCTTTAATTGCAGACCCTTTCCATGGTAGGACATAGCACACCTTTTTTGACCTGGTGGCCCTTTCAATTTCGCCAAAGCTTATATCGTGATCAAGATTAGCCCTTTATGATAATTCCCATTTCGATCATATGCTTGTGTACCGTGAAGTCGCTTTCGCGACAACCTAAATTTCCTCACTTTCGGCTGTTTATTCAATGCGAATATATCCATGCTTGTCTTATAAGATCTAAGCTTATGCTACGAGATATGCTAGATTTACATTGTGAATGCCAATTCGAATGCCAACTATGTAATATTTTATTACCCTAGCAATTTGGTATATAAGCATCACTGTCACAAAATGATCTGCTGTTATTAAAATAAGATTGAAAAGGCAAACAAGTTGGTGCTGTGCTTCTCCTTCGAAATTGTCGATTCTCCAAACCCAAAGGATACCATTTACCCCATTGTTTTGGCTTACTGGTTGTATTTATTCACTCTAGCTCTACCTGCGGGGAGCATATTCCATCTGTCACTCTTCATTGCTGGCCTTTTACTGTTGGCTGCCGCGAATCGGCTTCCGACATGTGGCACGTCTCGACAGATCCTGCAAATCTTGACCTTAGTTTAGGGACTTTTCGGGCAAAATGTCTCGACGAAGGAAACGAAGGCCGGAAAGGATTCTCCATGTTCAAGTTTGTAGCATCTGCATCGTTGAAACCAACCCAATTATTGTTATGATTTTTTTTATATTCACTAGAATGTGCTATTCTTCTAGCTAGTTGCAGATGGTTTGATGGGTATTTGTCATTACACTCGAGTTTGATAGATTTCATTTGTGTTTTTACGGTTTTTCCTTCTTAATCGAATTATAGCCTAAGTGCCAATTGGAGATTGTTCATTGTGCCTACCACGGCATGGCTCTTTATATTGACTTCTGTTCACCACATCGTTTTGAAGAAGCTCGATTGATTATATATTTTTGAATGCGTCATGTAACGAGTGGAGTCATAAACTTTTCATTTCTACTGAAAGGTAGTTTCCGTCCTAAATGCAGCAACCACCACTCTATTAGAAAGTCCTAATCTGGGTGTTTTGTTAAGAACGGTGCTTACGCTAGAAAATCCAACTAAAAAGGATACGCCGATAGGTGGCAAGATACCACATGTTAGGATTAGGGAGCGGAGCATGAAATTTGACTAATGGGGGTGGACGCACATGCGAAAAGGGCAGAACCTGGCTCCAATATCACATCATCAATTCAATCCAGAAATTGATCACATGATATATAAAGAGCATATAAACCTCAATGTCAAGTGACGTATGATGTTTCAACACATTATTTGAGAAAGTATCTCCGCGTTAGAAGAAAATGACAAAAATAATAACGGAAAATTACCAAAACAGTCCTAAACCTATTGCAATTGTGCCAATTCAGTCTTAAACCTTTTTTTTTTGTGCCAATTCAATCTATCCGGCCAATTTTGGCCGGCCGGCGCTGATGTGGACGCCGGCCGGCGGGGCAATGCTAACGCAACAATTTTTTAATATTATTTTTATTTTTTTCGAATTTTTTAAATTTTTTCTTTTCTTTTTTTTCCTTTTATTTTTTTTTCCTCATCTTCATCTTCAACCTCTGGCCCAAGAGGTTGGCCCCGCCGGCCATTGGCGAGGCTTGACCTCGTTGGGCGAGGCCAACCTCGCCAATTGCCAGAGAGGACAATGGCGAGGATCTGATGAGTTTGAGCCTCACCAGATCTGGCGAGGGCTCGTCCTCGCCGGGGTCAGCCTCGCCTACCCTTGGCGAGGTTCAACCTCGCCAGTTGCCGGAGAGTTTGAGCCTCGTCAGATCTGGCGAGGGCTCGTCCTCACCAGGGTCGGCCTCGCCCGCCCCTGCTGAGGTTCGACCTCGCCGGGGTTGGCCTCGCCCAGCAACGGCAAGGACGATCCTCGCCATTTTCCTCGCCGACAACTGGACAAGGCCGACCTCGGCGAGGTCGAACCTTAGCAAGGGCGGGCGAGGCCGACCCTGGCGAGGATAAGCCCTCGCCAGATTTGACGAGGCTCGAACTCTCCGGCAACTGGCGAGGTCGAACCTCGCCAGGGGCAGGCAAGGCTCGAACTCACCTGCCCCTGGTGAGGTTCGACCTCGCCGTTGCTGGGCGAGACCTCGTCGACAACTGGCGAGGTCAGCCTCACCCAACGATGGCGAGGTCGAGCCTCGCCAGCCAGAGGTTGAAGATGAAGATGAGAAAAGAAAAAAGAAAGAAAAAGAAAAGAAAAAAGAAAAAATTTAATAAAAAAATTCGAAAAAAAAATAATATTAAAAAATTGTCACGTTAGCATTGGCCGGCCGCCCGGCGTCCACGTCAGCGTCGGCCAGCCAAAATTAACCGGATGGACTGAATTGATACAAATGCAAAATGTTTAAGACTAAATTGGCATAATTTTAATAGGTTTAGGCTGCGCATGATAACTTGCCAAACAGTGTTTGATTCTGTTCTTTTGTTCCCAGAATCAGTTTGGGAACAGAAATGCGTTTGTTTAATTTTTTGATTCTGGGCACAATTTTGTCAAAAATTGTTCCCAGAATCAGTTTTCAAGAATAAAAAAAAAGTAGCTTCTTGATTCTGGGAACAATTTTGAGAATCAATTTTTTTTTCTTCTTCCTTTTCTTGGTTTTTAATGTAGCTTCTAATGTCCGGCCCGAGGACCGCCCTTGCCGGATCTGACGAGAATAAAATATTTTAATAAAAAATATTATTAAAATAAAAAAATATTTTACCGGCCATGGCCGGCGACCAGGCCATGGCAAAAAAAAAAAGAAAAAAATATATTTTTAATAAAAAAATTATTAATAAAAAAAATATTTTACCTGCCATGGCCGGTGACCAGGCCATGGCAAAAAAAAGTATATATTTTTAATAAAAATATTTTAATAAAAAATATTATTAATAAAAAAAATATTTTACCGGCCATGGCCAGCGACCAGGCTATGGCCAAAAAAAATAAAAATGTATATTTTAAATAAAAATATTATTAATAAAAAAAATATTTTACAGGCCATGGCCAAAAAAAGAAAAAAATATATTTTTAATAAAAAAAATATTTTACCAGCCATGGCCGGCGACCAGACCATGGCCAAAAAAAGAAAAAAATATATTTTTAATAAAAATATTTTACCAGCCATGGCCGGCGACCAGACCATGGCCAAAAAAATAAAAATATATATTTTTAATAAAAAAATATTATTAATAAAAAAAATATTTTACCGGCCATGGCCGGCGATCAGGCCATGACCCAAAAAAATAAAAATGTATATTTTTAATAAAAAATATTATTAATAAAAAAAATATTTTACCAGCCATGGTAAAAAAAAATAAAAATATATATTTTTAATAAAAATATTTTAATAAAAAAATTATTAATAAAAAAAATATTTTACCGGTCATGGCCGGCGACCAAGCCATGGCAAAAAAAAAGAAAAAATACTTTTAATAAAATATTATTAATAAAAAAATATTTTACCGATCATGGCCGGCGAGCAGGCCATGGCCAAAAAGGAGAAAAAGAAAAAAAAAACAAAGAAATATTAAAATATTAAAAAATATTATTAATAAAAAGAAATTTTGTGGCGTTACCAAACGCATTTCTATTCTTTTTCTATTCGAGGAATGAAATTTTGGGCCGTTAACAAACGCCTTAAAATGCTCGGAATCAATTCCGGGTACATGAATAAAAAGAATTATTTCGAAACAGAATACATTAAGCACGAATCGTTGTCATGCGCTGCCTTAGGACTGTTTTGGTAATTTTCCCAAATAATAATGATACCCAGACATGGAGAAATCAGTCCCACCGTGGATGAATTATCATTGACTCATATCCAATCAAGAGGTTCGAAGGAATAGGAGAAGATCATAACTTCATCATATCTGAAAAGTTTCAAGCGTGACCTCTAGCACGATAATCTTTCATTGTAATATAATCATACCATAAAATTTCGTATTTTATACCATTCATCCGGATCTTGTCATTTGAGAAGAAACATGATGACTTGATTATCGGTCATCAACCACCAAAAACGGCCCAAAAAGGCCTTTGCCGCCAAAACTACCGGCAAAAGTTTACATGCGAGAATCATGTTTCGCCTTTGAAGGAGCAAGCGACCAAAACAGATCCCTGTTCCGACACGACCCATTTGCCGAATTCGCATATTTAATACGTTGCCGATTGCCTCGAAACCGATCGAGGCTCTTTCTTCTTGTTCGCGCGAATGATCATGCGACGCAAGGTTCCTGCGGGGCACGGATGGGGGAATATCTCGCGCCCCGGCTGGGAGATCCTTCGGAGTTGCCGAAGAGAGTGGTTGATTCCAAAGCGTTCGCTTTGGTCTGAAAGAAAGTTGTGGTTCTTGTCGTTTTCTTGTTGGACTGATGTGGCATCTGGACTGGTTAAATTCGAGCGTGAGTTCAGCGTTTCTGGTGTGTGGAAGAACGGCCGCTGCTGTCGCTGACGCTGTGGATTTTTCTCTTCGAGGGATATGACTCGCCATTTGGCAACGTATTTCGCACTCTTGGGTTAGTCCACCAACTGATGTTGAGCCTTTCTGCATTGTTCTTGTTTTCGGTTTTTGAATTATTGTGTCCCTGCCACAAACTTTGACACCTTGGGAGAGACAGAGAAAGAGAGAATTTTCAGTTATCCAGAGCTTTCTGGATGTGGGTGAAGATATATGTTCATGTGCTATAGAAGTATTTGATAATTTTCAACAGTGAGATTTGTGCATCGCCACCATAATGTCTGAGTAATGAGTTGTGTAGAGATGGTTGAAAAGGAATGCATCGTGCTTTGCCGGGTGAAAAAGAATTTGTTATGCTTTGATGGGTCTCTTGAGTATTCGGTCTCCTCACTTCCACTGACGATGGCATTACAGGGTGAGGTACGGAAAGAGCGTCAAGCTGTCACGGCAGGAGTCTCTGGTGCGAGTTTTGATCTATCGTCATCCTAAGGTTCGATACAGCTGAGCTTCATTTTCGTGGTTGTGGAAACAGTGTCGGTAATGTGATTCTTGGGGTGTGGTACAGGCATTCTGGGGCTATTGTCCTTTTGACTAAAGACGGCATTTTCCAAATTCAAAGTTGTTCCCGAAGGCATCTTTTGGATCCTTCCACTTTGCAATCTCATTTCTGTTGCAAGTCTAGCTGTTAAATCTAAGAACAGAGCTTATTCTTCAAGCATCCTATACTAAGCACTTTTCTATAACATAGAGAGACTATCAGATGGTATCATTTGGTTTTGGCTGTGATCCATTTGTAGATCAGAACAAACTATCGTACATTTCTTATCTGTTGAAGTCGACTGAATCAGATTTTAGTTCAGCAGATATCAGTATAAGTAATGGTAGGCTACAAGATTTCAGGAAGAATTTTATAATGCGTATCCGGATCTTCTTAGGTGTTAAAAATGTGTTAAGCACTTGTCTGCCATGTCTGACTCTGGTTGATGATTTGGAGCTTTGCTTTAAACGCTGTTGATTTCTGTCAACAGTCGATTTTTCTTTACACTTCTTTCTTCTGTCTTGAATGGAGTTCTGAGCTGTATTATGTCCTTGCTTTTTAGCAGTATAGACATGAAGGCATAGTTTAGGATTTATTTTTTTCCCTTTTTTTTTCCAATTTGTCCTTTGGGTGTACAGCAATATGAACCTTCTTATTTGTGTTGCACTTAGGGGAAGTGGTAATGCAAACAATATAACTAGACTCAGTTTGGTGTGATTGATCCCAACAGGTGTTGATAGTGTGCGACAACATCAACTATGGACTCCCGAAAATCAGTAGAAGATCAGTTTTCCAAGTTGCATCCGTGCTTGCCAATGGATACCAGAATCGGGATAATTGGAGGGGGTCCAAGTGGAATATCAGCTGCCTATGCACTAGCGAGGCTCGGTTATAGAGACATCACTGTTATAGAGAAGCACAATTCTGTCGGAGGCATGTGTGAATCAGTAGAAATTGAAGGTACCAAAGAGAAGGGTGTCTTATTTTCTTCTTGGCTGTCCACCTTTACTAACATCTTTTGATCATCCGTACAGAAAAGGTTTATGATTTGGGTGGTCAAGTTCTTGCGGCTAACAGCGCACCAGTCATTTTTCACTTGGCAAAGGAATCTGGGACTGAATTAGAGGAAATGGACCTCCACAAACTAGCACTCATTGACAGTTTTACTGGGGACTATCATGATATTAATGTTGCGGAAGATTATATGTCTCTAGTCTCGCTCACCTTAGAAATCCAGGTACCCTTCTTTTAGTAACGCAGAGAAGTGTCCATTTGCACTAGTAACTGTTGGTTTTGGCCGTTGCTACATTTTCATTTAGTCGGCTTTTCATGTCATGTGCAGGATAAGGCAAAGGATTCGAATCGTATAGGCATCCATGCAGTGAGTGACATTGCATCAGACTTAACCCCAGCATATCTGGAAGCTCATGGAATCAAAAGTGTTCCCAAGTCTGTCCAATATGGATACACCGCATCAGGGTATGGATTTGTCCAAGACATGCCTTATGCTTACCTTCATGAGTTCACTCGCACTAGCATGGCTGGAAAAATCCGACGTATGAAAGGTGGATATATGAGCCTTTGGAAGAAAATCAGCCAGTCTCTTCTGATAAAAGTGTGCTGTAATACTGTAGTACAAGCAGTCAGACGCAACAGCTCAGGTGTTAATGTTGATATCACCAATTCTAGAGGAGAAACTGAGCATAAGGAATTTGATAAGATAATCATCTCAGGTGCATTCCCCTTCAAGAATTCGAGAACGTACAGATCACCTCCGTCTTCTGCAGGTTTGTCGAGTATTTTACTCCCCCTCTAATAGTTGTCTTTTGTTTGGAAGGATTTCATAAACATGCTGTCACTGCAGAAGCTGAGATCGGATTGTTGGATGTGAGCGACCTTGAAAGGGAGCTTTTCAGCAAAGTGCAAACAATAGATTATTACACCACTGTCTTGAAGATTAAGGGGCTTGAACGCATCCCTGTTGGCTTTTATTATTTGGGCGAATACATGGACGACCCTTCAACAATCGGACATCCGGTTGCAATGCAAAGATTTTATGCTGACACCAATATCTTCTTGTTCTGGTCCTACGGCGACTCTGTGAATATTAGGGGATCTAACGTCATTGATCTCGCAATTGAAGTAGTTAAAAGAATGGGTGGACAAGTTGAGAAGGTCGTTCTGCAGAGGCGTTTCAAGTACTTTCCTCATGTAGGCAGCGAAGGTATGTTAAACAACGCATACCCAGGTGATTCGTGCAAGCCACAAGCTCAAGTACAAAACTTTTTATAACTTTCTCTGTGATTTGACGCAGATATGAAGGACGGATTTTATGAGAGAGTAGAATCTGAACTTCAGGGTCACCGAAACACATATTACGTAGGAGGTCTTTTCGCTTTCGAGCTTACAGAAAGAAATTCATCTTATGCCATGGCTCTAATCTGCAAGCACTTTGCCAGTGCAAATTCCCTCCCAACATTTCCTTATGTGAAGGTGAGTCAGCTCACTAGATCTATGATTACTGAAAACGGAAAGAGTATTACTGCAGCTATGATTTACTGCTATATACTTTTTTTGTGCAGAGTTTGTTCACGTTGCAACTGGACCAAGAAGCGACCAGACTTAAAACATTGAGTGAAGCATGTGGAGTCGATTTCCCCAACCTCCCCACACTTGATAGCTATTTAAAGCACTGGGCTGCTCAAGAAATTACTCAAAACAAGTCTCTCTATACTTGGATCAATGAAGAAGGGGCAGTGGTGTGCCAGAGGACATATGGAGAGCTTGACTCCAATGCTTCTTGTATTGCTCATAAGCTCTTGACAAGCCGGAAACCTACTATCAAGCCAGGTGACAGGGTTTTACTTGTCCATGTTCCAGGTCTGGACTTCGTTGATGCTTTTTTTGGTTGTTTAAGAGCCAGCGTCATACCCGTTCCAGTACTTCCACCTGATCCATTGCAAAGAGGTGGACAGGCTCTTATGAAGATTGAGAACATTGCTAAGTCGTGCAATGCAGTGGCCATTCTGTCAACCGTTGGCTATCATGCTGCAGTTAGGGCAGGGTCAGTAAAGAATCTGATCTCTTTCACCACAAAAACTGCGAAAAGCACAGCTCAGTGGCCTAATCTTCCATGGCTGCACACAGATTCTTGGATCAAAAGCTCTAAGGTCTTGCCTGCTCTAAACGTTGCCATTCAATCAGAATCTCACCCGGATGATCTGTGCTTTTTGCAATTTACATCGGGTTCAACTGGTGATGCTAAGGGTGTTATGATAACACATGGTGGACTCATTCATAACGTCAAATTGATGCGGAGGAGATACCAAAGCACTTCAAACACTGTGCTGGTAAGTTGGCTTCCTCAGTATCATGACATGGGTTTGATTGGAGGACTTTTTACAGCAATGGTTTGTGGCGGATCAGCAATCCTTTTTTCTCCATTGACGTTTATCAAGAATCCGCTCCTGTGGCTTCAAACGATCAGTGATTACAAGGGCACACACAGTGCAGGACCCAATTTTGCCTTTGAGCTAGTAATTCGAAGATTAGAAGCAGACAAGGCCAAGGTGCTCGATTATGATCTCTCTTCCATGATTTTTTTCATGGTAGCTGCTGAACCAGTGAGGCAGAAAACGCTCAAAAGATTTATTGAGCTCACTCGTCCCTTTGGCCTTTCTCAGGAGGTGATGGCTCCAGGCTACGGCTTGGCAGAAAATTGTGTCTTTGTCAGCTGTGCATATGGCAAAAAGAAGCCTATCTTGGTAGATTGGCAGGGAAGAATTTGCTGTGGATACGTGGATCCCGATGATGTAGATGTTGATATAAGAATTGTTGATGCAGATTTAGAGGTTGATGAAGATGGGAAGGAAGGAGAGATATGGATTAGTAGTCCGAGTGCTGGAATTGGGTACTGGGGCAAGGAAGAACTTAGCCAGAAAACTTTCAGAAACAAGCTTCAGAAGTACCCTGGAAGAAAGTACACAAGAACTGGAGACTTGGGACGGGTAATCCAGGGTAACTTGTTCATCACAGGAAGAATCAAGGATCTCATTATTGTAGCTGGGAGAAACATTTACTCGGCAGATGTTGAGAAGACGGTTGAGAGCTCATCTGAGCTTCTACGCCCTGGTTGCTGTGCCGTCATCGGTGTTCCTGAAGATGTCCTATCAGCAAAAGGCATTTCACTTTCGGATGCTTCTGACCAGGTTGGCTTGGTTGTGATTGCAGAGTTAAAAGACGGTAAACCTGTCGAGAAGGACATCATAAAGCAAATTGAATCCCGTGTGGTGGAAGAACATGGGGTAACTGTCGCCTCTGTCAAGTTGATTAGGCCTAGAACCATAAGCAAGACAACCTCAGGGAAGATCAAGAGGTTCGAATGCCTCAAGCAGTTTATTGATGGAACTCTCAACATAGTTCCAGATCCAATTGTGACAAAGAGATCACTGACCAGATCTTTTACCACTGGGACGTGTAGGGAGGGAAACACTCCTCGATCTCACCTTGCTAAAAGTTCTCTACCACCAAGCCCAAAATTAAGCAGTAGAGATATTGTGGAGTTTCTGAAGCAGCTAGTCAGTGAACAGACAGGAATCGCAATCAAGAACATTTCAGCCACGGAAAGCCTTGTGTCCTATGGCATTGATTCGATAGGCGTGGTCAGAGCTGCTCAAAAGCTTTCGGATTTTCTTGGAGTCCCAGTTGGAGCCGTAGACATATTCACTGCAACCTGCATAGCAGACTTGGCAAACTTTGCCGAGAATTTGTTAAGGAAGTCTCAACCCCATCTAGTCACCACCCAATCCAACCATCCAGAGCCAGAAATCCTCACTGCTGACTTCTCTAAGGAAATTTCCAGACTTCACCGCTGGCGTATCTGGTCCTACCAACTTCTTGCTCTTCTCTATGTCTCTTTCATTCTGGTTTTCCCTGCTTATTTATCAGTTTCCACTTTTCAAAATTTGGTTTCGGCCAGCCAAACAATGATTCATGGACTTCCCTGGTTGCATCATACAAGTGTCGTGCTTCTTGCACCTCTTTCCTGGATCCTCTGTATTGCCTTGACCAGCATATCCATTGCCTTGTTCGGTAATTCTTTCCTACGCATAAATTACGCCTTGACTCCTGAAGTATCTGTCTGGTCTGTGGATTTTGTCAAGTGGTGGGCACTTTACAAGGCTCAGGAGGTTTCCTCCAAAGTCCTCGCGGTGCATCTCAGAGGAACGGTGTTCCTTAAACACTGGTTTGAGATGCTTGGAGCAAGGATCGGATCGTCAGTTTTACTAGACACAGTTGACATAACAGACCCTTCTCTGGTTTCAATCGGAGATGGAGCAGTGATTGCAGAAGGTGCTTTGCTTCAAAGTCACGAAGTGCGGAACAGTGTCTTGAGATTCCAGCCAATAAGGATTGGCAGGAATTGCTCAGTTGGCCCTTATGCTGTTGTCCAGAAAGGAAGTGTTTTAGGAGAAGGAGCTGAAGTACCGGCCTTGCAGAAAAGTGAAGGTGGGAAGTCTGCCCTTAAGATGGCCGAGGCAGAAAACATACTGAAGGTAAATGCTGTTTTCCTTTTCTTTTCTGATAAGAGGCGCAGGTTTCTTGGTAAAAACTTTAAGCACTTCTCATAGGTACTTGTTTTATTCATATGAACTCTCTGTTTGTGCTCTACCCATTTTTATATGTTTAATCGGTCCAAAAGTCAGCTCTGAGAGGCAACTATCTTTCTTTCAATAATAAAAACATCCTGATGATAGATTAGATTATAGGTAACTATGACAATTACTTAATTAGAGCACGCAGAGTTGCACTCTCAAGCGAAGTCTGTGCACCAAAATCTATTCATTGCAAAATTTCATTATGCTCCAAATCAATCAAAATATGCTTTTTACTTATTTATATAGTTATATATCTGTTTATGGTTTTCCGGATAGCAAAATCTAACTATAGTCTCTAGTAAGTATTTCTAATAATGCCCTATCTTATCTACTTGCTTAGTAAGAATACTTTCTTTAATTACCTTTTCTTGGTTTTGTTTTCTTGGTAGTGAAATGTATATTGGGGTTACTATTTGCAACGGTGTCAAAAGGGAAAAGGATGTCTGCTTTTTGGTCCGGATAATAAAGGGCATCTAATATCTTCCTACAAATAGTGAATTGACTCAATCAATGTGGACTGAGATGAAGAAAAAATTTCCAAACCCTTGATGGAAGCATCCAGTTGAGCTGTCATTGTTTTCCTGACGTTATTTCACAAGGGAGTGGGTGGAAATTTCGCAGTCATCCTACTCTTGAAGTTCCTTTTAGAATTTCCAAAGCATGTGCACTATTGGTTGACTTATTTTTTAGGATGCTGAAAGTTTTGTGTTTTTGTTTTGAGGGTAAATTAGCAGTTAAATGTATGAAAATGAAGGACAAAATAGTCAATCGAACTATTTGGTTTTTCTTCTTTTTATCAGTATCCTTCGTTGTAATTAATCTAATTTTTTGGTTTTGGCAGTCGCTCATGAGGTCTCTGATGCTCAGAGTTGTATCTGTGACATTAATAAACTGCTGGGAGAATGATACATGCATCTTTTGTTCCTGTTTTGATTGTGCAATTCAATAATCTGGCATCTACTTTTGCAACATTTCAGGTTTCCCCTGGAACTCTGAAAGAGACCATACAACAGTTCATGGGCATCTACATGGTTGGTTTCCTCAGCTCGTTGTCCGCCGCTGCCGTTTACTTGCTCTACATGAGGCTATCTCAGAAAGTTCCTTCCCTTGAACAGTTGGCTTTTCTTTGCATTTCGGGAGCCTTACACTGGGTTCCGTTCACTATCATGGCATACGCCACCATGTTTACGAACGCCCCGCCTAATCCATTCGAGTTTGCCATTTCTTTGGCAATCGCATACTTTGCTCACGGCCTGGTCCTTAGTTTATTGACATCCATCTTTACCCATTTGCTTGCTGGTAAAGACAAGAAGCAGACTCAAATCAAAACCTGGTTTGGCCACCGACTTGCCATTGCTTGCCACCTCCGTTTTGCAAAGCTTCTTTCTGGAACAGAAGCCTTCTGCGTGTACTTGCGCTTGTTAGGTGTAAAAGTAGGCAGGTATTGTTCCATCAGATCCATCAACCCAATTGCGGATCCAAGGATGGTCTCAATAGGTGCCGGTGTCCATTTAGGTGATTTTAGCAAGATCATCACAGGTTTCTATTCCCGGAGTGGATACATCCAGAGTAATGTTGATGTAAAAGATAATTCAGTTACTGGGAGCCAAAGCCTTATACTTCCCGGCTCTGTAGTCGAAAAGGATGTTATTCTCGGGGCAATTTCAGTTGCTCCAGTGAATTCAGTTCTCCAAAGCGGTGGTGTTTACATGGGGTCTCAAAATCCAGTTATGGTAAAAAACACAATACACGCTTTGGATGACAGGATAGAGGAGATGGATCAGAGATACAAAAAGATAGTTGGCAATTTGGCTGCAAACTTGGCAGCGACGACTCTGAAGGTGAAATCGAGATACTTCCATCGTATTGGTGTTAGCGGGAAGGGATACTTGAAACTCTACGATGACATTCAAGGATTGCCAGAGCACAATATATTTGGCCCTGGAAAGAAGTATACAGTCATTGTCCGCCACAGCAATAGCTTGAGTGCTGATGATGATGCAAGGTTAGATGCGCGAGGAGCGGCACTAAGGATACTCTCGGATGAAAAGGGGGATGATTCTCCACTTCTCGACTTGACATTGAAGACAGGGAAGGCATTCTATGCCCGCACAATCTCCGATTTCGCAACCTGGCTGGTGTGCGGGCTTGCCGCAAGGGAGGAGCACGTTAAGCGGGCGCCGCACGTGCGGGATGCAGTGTGGACCTCCCTCCGTCAAGCTGACTCCTATGTGGATATGCATTACTACTCGAACATCTGTAGGCTCTTCCGCTTTAAGGATGGACAAGAAATGTATGTGAAGTTCAAGTTGAGGCCCTCTGATGACAACGTTGGGGAAGATGCTGGTAAGGTGGAGCCCTTGGGGATCCTTCCGCCTGAAACTGGTGCGATACCGAGAGATGCTAATGACACCCGCCCATTACTTTTCCTAGCTGAAGATTTCCAGAACCGTGTGAACTCTCCGAATGGGGTCCGTTACATATTCCAGCTTCAAGTCAGGCCAATTCCACAAGACGAAGCTGCATGCGACATTGCTCTCGATTGCACGAAACCTTGGGACGAATCGGAGTTTCCCTACATTGATGTTGGGGAGGTCATTATCAATGAAAATCTGACAAAAGAAGGCTCAGAAAGGCTAGAATTTAATCCATTCCTCCGATGCCACGAGGTGGATGTAATCCGGGCGACTTCAAGCAGTCAGAGCGCATCGATCGATCACGGGCGTTCACTAATCTATGAGATCTGCCAGCACCTGAGGAATGGAGATCCTCTTCCCGAGGCATGGAGGGTCTTCCTGGAGCAGTCGGACGTGAAGGTCAACCTCTCCGGGTGTCCAATGGCCGCTTCACTCGAGAGAAAAGACGCCGAGAAAGTGACCCTTTCGAGGCCCTGGTACTTAACCACTTGGGCTGTTTTCGCTCAGCCGCTGCTGCAAACAATACTGCCCTACTTTCTCCTCGGACTAATCATCTACTTCCCCCTGAACTTGCTCCTCCACTGCAAGAACACCAGGAATATGCCCGTCCACTGGACGTTCCCCTTCTTCTGGGTGTCAACCGGGATTTTAGCCGCATTGGCCTGCGTGGCGGCGAAGTACATCCTGGTGGGAAAGAAGAGAGAGGACGAAACGGTGCATATATGGAGCAGAGGGGTGTTCATGGATACCATATGGCAGGCCATCAGGACCGTGGTCGGGGACTACTTCGTGGAGATGACGACCGGGTCGGCGTTGTTCCTGATGTGGATGAAGCTGATGGGGTCGCACATCGAGCTGGACAACGGGACTTACGTGGACTCCATGGGAGCGGTGCTGAACCCCGAGATGGTGGAGGTCGAGGGAGGCGGGAGCGTGGAGAGGGAGGCTCTGCTGTTCGGGCACGTGTACGACGGGGAAGGCGGGGCGGTGAAGTTCGGCAAGATCGTGGTCGGGGAGGGCGGGTTCGTCGGGAGCAGGGCGGTGGCCATGCCTGGAGTGGCGGTGGAGAGCGGAGGGAGCTTGAGCGCACTCTCGCTCGCCATGAAGGGAGAGGTCATCAGATCAAGATGATGATGATGATGATGAATCAAAGAGGATTTTGCCCGTTGTTACCATATAAAAAGAGACACAAAAGTAGTTCGGATACATAGAAAGCGGACAGTCCCTGAACGCTGTCCCACAGCAGTCTCGTGTAATAATAATCTCTGGCGATCTTCGCCGAATAAACACGAGAACATAAGAACATGCTAATCATGGTATTAACATAAGAGGATCTCGTTTAGTCTCTCTCTCTCTCTCCCTCCCGATACACTGAACTTGACCGTCGACTACTCTTACACAGCCTCATGCAACGACATGCTCCTCCCTTGTCGTTCGCCATTCCACGATCCTGCGGCGGCTGAGGGAGGAGCTCGGCCGTGCAGATCCTTGCCAGCTCTCGCTGCGACGTGGAGTGTGGTGTCCCCCTCAGTAGCTCGCCTTGGCGGTAAGCCGCTCGTCACGGATAAACCTCGAGGAAGGCGCGGAGGGAGACCGTCGGCGGCTTTTCTCGGTACCCGCCACGATGCAGAGCGGCGAGTTCTCCCAGAAGGGGCCCTGCGCGTTCGAACAAAGAGAACCCTCCCTTCGCCGGAATGCATTTCGAGAGAGCTTCGACAAACTCGTCGATGGCAGCCCTTTAGCGGCGGCGGGTAGCAGCCGGTTCATACGAACATTTGTGAGTTCTGCTTGGAAGTGTGATTTGTTTGCCGACTCTAGTGCTTTCAATCCGACCCTTGTCTCGGATTTCCATCATCCTCGATGGTCATCATGCAACGTAGACGACAAAGTGTACAAACTGACGGCAAGTTAACGACCTTGATGCCATGTCCTAAACCAGATTTTAAAAGTTCGGCGATTAAATTGAGAAAGAAAAGACATTTCAAATGACCATCTTGACCATCAATTAAAGTTCAAAGACCACCTATCCCATGACCCCATTCTACAAAATTCCATTTGTTTCGACGTGAACAATTAAAATGTCATTGAGAAATGTTATTTCACAAAGTTAATTTTAATGAGAATGGGTTAATCAACCTATATCTGGCCGATGAGATAGCCAATCTTTTTCTTCTTGGAAAACCGTAAAGCTTGTTTTCTGTCCATGCGCGCACCCAGGTTCCCCCGATGCAGTGGTGACAACCTGAGCGACAAGTCATGAAAGACTAAACCTGATCAATGGAGGGTGTCCTTGTTAAATTTTTTGGGCCCATTGGGCAGGGTTGGACAAAAAATCCATGTTCAATTACTAGGCTGGGGCTTTGAAGCTCGACCAAATTCAGGGTTCGATTCCCATGAGCATCGCACACACATGTACACGAAAGAGAGGAGTGAGACCCAAAAAGAGAAAAAAAAAGAAACCGTCTCGTGGATGTAATGGCACGTGATAAAACACTTACATGTAGCATGAAAATGGGGTAACTCATCTTTCTTTACTAAAATAACATGTAATAATCAATGAACTTAAAGAAAATTAGGGAATGACACATGGTTGATGAAATTATGGAAGTTTCTTGAGGTTCTTTTAATTTAGAAATATGAGTTAGTCTATCTTCAAGTTTGGGGTGAACAGTTCCACGTTTCCGTACAGGAACCTATCCATGGGAACATGTTCCTAATTTTTTGAAATCTGGAAATTACTATATATACCTTGGAACGTGGAACCTACCCTGTTACAGGTTTCAGTATCTACCCAGTTTCCCCATGTATTATTAATTAAATAATTGCAGTGAATTCTCACATTTAGTGACCACCATTTACTTCTATGATACATTGATTACAACTTATATTTAGATACACGAAATATATGAAACATCAATAAGTCATAAAATAGAAGTTCAGACTAGTGGTTTCAGATTATATACTCATCATCTAATGCCATGGAACACCATAAGATTAAGCGAAGACATAGACTAAGAAAAAACGCAAAAAACTTATTTAAGGTTTCAGATTCTAGGTTCTGCCTATCTAGAACTTGAAACCTACTCGACAAAACAGGTTTCCTAATTTTTAGAACCTGAAACCTAACCTACATACTTTGAAACCTAGAACCTACATATTCCTACCGATCAAGTTCTCCGGTTTCAGGTTCTACTAGGAATCATGCTCACCCCTACTTCAAGCTACACCTAATTGCAATGTAGATGGAAAAATTATTGACTACAAAGAAAATCGAAGTTCAAAGAAGAAATTGGTAACTTTTTGAAGTTCGAGATTTATTACGCAAGGTGCCAAAGTTCATGGAAGTAATTATAACATATCAAAGTTTGGTGGCTATTGCGCAATGATGCCAATGTTCCGGGGCTGTTATTTATCTCTAAATTTATTTGCAAATGTAAACCTTCGTAGTACATGCAATCACACCACCTCGTTAAGTTAATTTACTAGTACGTCCGATCTCTAATAGTTCATAAGAAAAAATTCTTAACGTTCAATATGATTTACGAACTCTTTTTCATTCAATATAGTCTTTAAACTTTTTAGATTCGTCCAACATAACCTTTTTTTTCAATTCAATATATACTTTTAACGTCCAGGGATCCATCGGCAATGATCCCGTTGCCGGTGACTCCGAGCGGGCCCTTTGCCACGGCCGGCAATGACGGCGGGCTCGGGCTCGGGCTCGGGCTCGGGCTCAAGGTCGGAGAAGGGAATGAGGGGTCAGGCCGAGGAAGAGAGAGAAAGGGAGGGAGACCGCGAACTAACAGGTGGCCCACGTGCGACACCTGCCGCTCACTGAATGGACATATATTTTCTCCCCGCGGCCGCCGACCTACGGACACGTGACGAGCACGTGCGCGCCGGAAATATCTTTTGCTCCGGTTTCCCATAAAAGAATCTTGCGATATTTTAAAGCCCCCCGCTTTTTCCGCGGCGACTCCACCACGGCGCCGCGCTTTTCCCCCTCTCTCTTTCTCTCTCTATCTCTACCTCTCCCTCTCTCTGTGACCGGACCACCATCGGACCGGATGTCCGGCGGCGGCGGCGGCGGCGGCGGCGGGGGGGCCGGGGGAGGGGGCCGCCTGGAGACCCCGGCCCTGGACCGGGAGGCCGCCGGGCTCCTCCGCGACATCGCCGGGCACGGGGGCTACGCCTACGCCGCCATGTCGGGCCTCGCCGCCGCCGGCGACGCGCGGGCGGCGGAGGCGGCGCGGGAGATGGCGTGGGAGCAGCTCCACTCCGGGCCCTGGCACTCGGTGCTCCCCGTGTGGCGCGACGCCTACTCCATGGCGTGCCTCCACGTGGCCAGGCTGCACCACCGGGGCGGGGAGCTGAAGGAGGCGCTCAGGGTCCTGGATCTGGGGCTCATCATGGGAGGGACGCTGCTGAGGGAGGACCTGGAGGCCGCCGTCCAGAGGTTGACCGCGGAGGCGAGGGACGCTAGGGTTTTGGGAGGAGAGGAGGGTGAGGATGGGGGATTGGATCAGAGGCTGGTTCGCGACGGAATCGACCGGGATAAGGTGAGGTTCGTCTGGGATTTTCTTCACTCTTGTTCCTGCTTTCATCTGATCGAAAAATGGTGGAATGCGGGGATGGGTAATATCTAATCCTTTTCGTAATCATGTAATGTCTAATCTTTTGTAGTTTCTGATATTAATTTTGATTGCATTCATTGGGTAATGCTAATTCTCTTGTTATATGCACTTACGTTTCTTTTTGTTTGAAAATGGCTTCTTGAACGTGCAATGCCAATTTTGCATCTGAAGTTGCTCCTATCATTTGTGTTTTGCCCATTTACACTCACCTTGTTTAGATTAGACGTGATCTTGCGTCGATTCTGTTGGTTGTGTTCCCGGTCTAGTTGGTTCTTGTAATGGTCGTTCCCTCATATGTTTTGCCTTTGTCACCTATGTGACTCGATTTGATCATCAGTATAAGCTCTTACTTACTGTCCTTCTTAAATAAAAGCATCATTCTTATATGGATTTTTATTAGGTCCATGGTCAGTGTAAAAACAATGTTCACATCCCCGGTTAGATAGTTGACGTGTGGATAGATTCAGTTATACACCCATCTTTAATTATATTCTGGTTATCGTTATTGTGAGTTGTATAGGTTTTGATGGAACAGGAAAGTATTTGGAAAGAATGCTCTAAAGTTGTGGCTGGTTCCTTTCGTTTGGTCAAAGGTGAATTTGTTAAGTCGATGAAATGTCGCCTTTCCTCTCGACATCTATCTTTTGTGCATGTGTTCACTAGATGTAATGTAAGACGACATAATGCCTGCTCACTTCTCATCTCTTTTTCCTAAAGGATTTTGTCCTGTGTAGTTTTTGTTATCATGGCACATATAACGAAGTTGGCAATCTTTGTGGCAGCACTAATTGACCAGAATCTGAAGCTTTTCTGACTGTTATCTTCTCCCTTTGAACTTGTAGGTGCTCCGGATATTACCTCTAAAATCTCTGTCCCTAAAAACTGTGGCTAAGAGGTCTGCTCTGTCCTTGGAGGGATTCCTACGTGAATTTTTCCTATCAGGTTGTCCAGTTGTAATTACGGATTGCATGTCTCAATGGCCTGCCAGAACAAAGTGGAATGACATGGATTATCTCAAAACCGTTGCTGGCGACCGCACAGTTCCAGTTGAGGTGATTAACCTTGTAGTCCCTGACGCCCCCCTCTCTCTGATATTTGTCAATTGCTTTCGAATGGCACAGTGTTCATATCAGGAAGTGGTGTTAATGGCATTAAGAATCTTTCATTCGCTACAATACTTACTATGTTTTAACATTAATCAACTCAACAATTGCTCATGCTAATATATTGGGCACATTCATCTCAAAGTTCCCCTACCTGGGAAATACCTCTTGGTGTGATTCTGCACTCGGTGCAATGTGGTTGGGATCCTTTTATGCAATGTCAAGTATATGCTAACCTGATTTATTCCTGTGCACTGAAATCTGGTAAAGCTTTAACACTCTGCAGGTTGGAAAGAACTATCTATGCTCTGAGTGGAAGCAGGAGCTCATCACGTTTTCCCAGTTTCTTGAGCGCCTACAGTCTAACGATCCTTCTGCAGCTGTCCCTACATATCTTGCGCAGCACCCACTGTTTGATCAGGTACTCATGCTCCTTCATTATAATTGCAGGTGTTTCTTCAATTTCTATGTCGTGGCATTTGGATGCTTTTCTTCAAAGACTAGTTTTAAATATTGGCAGATTTATGTTGATTTTCATTTGTCTGCTGTTGTAGATAAATGAGCTGAGAAAGGATATTCTCATCCCTGACTATTGTTTCGCCGGGGGTGGAGAGCTAAAGTCTCTTAATGCTTGGTTTGGACCAGCAGGCACAGTGACCCCATTGCACCATGATCCACACCATAACATATTTGCTCAGGTGCTTTCTCTATCGTAAAGTCAATAGCAAAGCTGCATTTGTTTTACAGACTGTATATGATAATATGTTCAATTTTCTTTCTGCCTTTTATCGCGTTTGAGTAAATTTTATAGGAAGTGAAGATGAAATTAATTTTAAAGCTAATTGAACATCTATCTCTGAGTTTCTATTCATTATCATCAGGTTATTTGCTTTCCATTAGATATAGGGCCGTGATATGGGTTAAGACTTATGAGACATATAATCAAAGTTATCTATCATGGTGCAAATCCTGATATCAAAGTCTCTTTTTCTGAATGATAATTGAAATCGAATAGCAAATCATGCGATTTAGTAACATGACTCTTTAGACGAAGGGAAGTGGTTAATTAATCGCATAGTGCAAACGCTCCATAGGATCAAATACGTAATAAGAAAAATAAGTGACGTGGTTCAGCACTTCTGCCTGCGATGCCATAATCAGCTTAACTGTCAAAGTGTCTATAAGTATGTGTGCCCTCATTTTGCTATTATTGCAAAATAATCTGCAAAGTGGTGCTTTGTCAGAGTTGTCTTGCCTTTTTGTCTTCATTGCTGTTTGAATGAATGATGATCTTTTTCTTTAGGTTGTTGGTGCAAAATATGTAAGGCTTTACTCTTCTTCATTCTCGGAGGAACTCTATCCACATAGTGAAACCATGCTTTGCAATTCTAGTAAGGTACCTTTTTCTTCCATCTCTAAATAGAATGGGTTAGTTGCAAATATCTCCAACTTACATGATATGTTGTAAATATTTCCTCATATTTATCCTTGCAAATATACAACCAACCTTTCAGATCATCACATCCCCCCAACATTCAATTTATGTTCCGTTTTTTCTCCTCCTTATCTGTGGAAAAAAATTATCAAAAGGATACTTCGTTCATTAGATATATTATTGTTTCTTCACTTATCAAAATTCACACTGTAAACTAAGTCAGATAGCTTATTTAAAGAAGCAAATGAGATTGACAGAGAAAAGGAAAAAAAAACAACAAGAAAACATGAAAATTGATTAATCTACAATTCAAGTGGTTTGGAAATGATTGAGGTAAACTTTGCCTTTCAGTTGGTAAGAAAGGATAGAGCACTGCACATACGAAAGTAATGTAACTATTGAACTTGTAGCCCTTTCCTGAATATGCAAAGTCATGAGCACATGCATATGCAGACTCTCTGGTTTGGTGGGTTGTTGATGATATGGTACGACCAGTCTAGAGTGCCTTATCTTTTAGTCACACGTGGTGCTTAGACTACGGGTTGCCCAACTGAAACCATGTCTTTATTTTTGAAATCAAAAGCCAGTTAGAATCTGGCTGTACTTGATTTTTTTGACCTTGAAAGTATGTCAATCATATCAGATACCTAATGGTATCTAACAGAATGTCTTGATATAGTGAAAAAGTATTCTGCTGATTTAGAATGGTCTTGATATGGCATGCTTGTCTTGAATCGCTAGATGAATCACCATCAGAGTATCACCACTTGCATGAGCTATCTATATTGCATTTCTTTCCTTGCATGAGGGTTTTTTTGCCCTTTATGTCCAAATAAGGGAGATGTCACCAAAGTAATAAGCTCCTGGCCTTTCTAGTGAGAGGATTGAAAGGTTGGGAATGTGATCAAGGTGACCAAGAAACAACTGGGACATCCACATCTGTACTGCAACTTTTGGACTTCTCTTGAATATTTGCCTTTTTATGTAAGCATGCTATCTTAAAAGTGATATTGGTGGGCACAACGAGTAAAGTAACTATCTGTTTTTGAGCCATTTAATTTCGTGAAAGCGTTCTTAAGCTGGATATGGAATCCATCAAGTGAAAAGTTCAATAGTTTAGCTTTGCTCAGTCCTTTGTCCTTCTCTTTCGTGCCAAAGTGTTCTTATATATCCATGATGTTCTTGTTTGAAGGTTGATCTAGATGACATAGACGAGAAGGAGTACCCCAAGATTATGGACGTAGAGTTTGTGGATTGTATTTTAGAGGAAGGGGAGATGCTGTATATACCACCCAAATGGTGGCACTATGTACGATCTCTAACGACAAGCTTGTCCGTTAGCTTTTGGTGGAGCAAACCCGATGGGAGCCCCGCCGATTCGTGACATGGTACTCCTTTTCATCCAATACCATTCTTTTGATATAGAGACCCGCGAAACGCATAACATGATATGCCCCTTACAACATGGATGGTTGGGTGTGTAGTGCCCCCACGCCTCCACAGCATATCAGTACATGAAGGACATGTTAATGTATAAGCCATTGTTCTCGGACTCGGTAAAAACTGAGTGTAGACACCAAAAATAGTAATTTTACAGGAAGGACATTTTGTCTCTTGATTGGTCCCCCCGTGGGGTACGTTAATGGTGTGGTCTTATCTGATTTTATTACATTTTACTTTTGGGGTCTCGGTCTCTCCTGCACCCAGAAATAAATTTATGTGGTAGAAGCGTTGGGAGATGGTGTTGATTTTGTGAGAGTTGCCAAACATGCGTGCGTAGCGCAAATTCGTTTTAGTTGTGATGTAAAATTCCATTTTTGCTTATCGAACTCGAGCTGCCATTCGTCATGGAAATGAAGCTGGCGTACTCATGCTCATTCATCGGTTCGATCAAGGAACCCGGAAGGGGTATGACCTAGTAGTAAAGGGCTTGCCTGTCTTTTGTTGAGTTATGAGTTCTATCTATATCGTGAATGAAGCTTTGAATGACCCGTGCTCCGTTGCGTAATCATCATCGTGTGGAGAGGTTTTCTGGCCACTGGCATTTTGGTAAGTTTGTGGTAAGGGGGAGCTCTCCAATCTCGGACATTTGGGTCGCGGGTGATGTGAAGTAATTATGGCTCGAACCAAACATTTCGTATTGGGTGTAAGATTCTCATGCTAATATCCAGTAACGGTTTTTAGTGTCGGTCACATCTCTCCGTGTTTCTGCAAATGAAAACAAAACAATAAAATGAGAGCATCTCTTTCCCGCTCATAATATAACAGCACATCGACGAATCTTCTCAGAAATTACTTGGGTGTCCATAATCACTTGCCATTTTGCTTTCAATTTGCTCGACGACACTGGTAAAATGGTGATGGCTTCATGGTTGAGGAACTTACATATGTGGCCGTATATCACCAATCGGATTCCTCATGTCTCCGAGTGTGAACAAATAGCGTGTTTCGGCTCAGGTTTCGGTTCAGGTTTCAGCTTGTGCCTCACTTGATCCGGGAAAATAACATCAGCAGACAGTAGGTATTTCCAAAAATTTAGGAACGGGATAGGATGTCATACATGCTTTCAACTAACTTACAGCATGTATTTACAGCATGTATCCAGTTTTTAAAATTCGATTTCAACTAAAACATTGAACTTAAATCGAGTAATTGTAAAATAAAAGATTTGTAAGAAAATATTAAGAGAGTACAAAGCGACCATAAAAGATTTTTCCTTAATACGATGTCGTGTAATATAATATTTGTTTTGCGATGCTCTGTTTTAATTACGATGAAAATATTACGATATCTTATAATTAAATAATGAATCGATTTGACGATGCTTAATGCATCGGGAGAAGTGTCAAAAAAGTCCTCAACCTTTTGTATTGGTGCCAATTTAGTCCTAAACCTTTTTTTGGTGCCAATTTAGTCCTAAACCTTTTGCATTTGTGTCAATTGAGTCCTAAACCTTTTTTTGATACCAATTCAGTCCTAAACCTTTTGTATTGGTGCCAATTCAGTCCTAAACCTTTTGCATTGGTGCCTATTGAGTCCTAAACCTTTTGCATTTGTGCCAATTAGTTATAAACCTTTTGTATTTGTGCTAATTCAGTCCTTCCGATTAATTTAGCTAAAAAATATTTAGGATTGAATTGGCACCAATGCAAAAATTTAGGACTGAATTGGCACCAATGCAAAAGGTTTAGGACTAAATTAGCACCAAAAAAAGGTTTAGGACTCAATTGGCACAAATGTAAAAGGTTTAGGACTAAATTGACACCAAAAAAAGGTTTAGGACTAAATTGGCACCAATGCAAAAGGTTTAGGACTTTTTTGACACTTTTCCCCTTAACGCATCTGATATGTTTATATCAAAGTGGGGCATTACATTGTAGCATAAACGATTTCACACATATCAAATGTGTTTTCAGCTGAATGAAAAATGAAAAAATAATAAAAAAAATACTCTTTTTATTTGCCTTTTATTTTCTAAAGGAAATAAAAATATTAAACGACCGTGCGCTGGCTCTTCCAGCGTTCTCGTTCTTCATCCATGATCCACTTCGATGCAATGAACGGCTAATGAACTTTCGTTTGATGGAATAACCCGAGCAATTTGGGAGAATTCTTGCGAATCGATCCACGTTTCCCTCTAAAAAGCGCACGACCCAGATCCAAATTTGTATGCAAAAGAGCTGCGAATGGAGGAGCGAACCCAGATCGCCGTTCTTGGAGCTGGCATCTTCGTGAGGACCCAGTACATTCCCAGGCTCGCCGAGATCTCTCAGCTCGTTGTTGTCAAGTCCATATGGAGCCGAACCCAGGTGCCTTCTTCTCCTTCTTCCTCCTAAGCTTCGCCATTTTGTGTTTGTGCTGCGTTTCGTTTGCCAGAAGTAGAGGAGACAGGACTAGTGAAGTCGTTGGTGGGTGTCTTGGCTTCCGGTGAAACGGAAACATTGAATTGTGAATGCTGGGTTTAGCTCGATCAGACGCTAGAACCAAGTTGGGTAAAAGCTCTGTTTTTCTTCAATCTGTATCGGATGTGGAAAATTCCTGCGCAGTGATCACTGCACCTGTTGTGTCGGTTTGGCTTCGTTGCCAATGAGCAGAGAAGTTGGCCCCTGCATATGAGTTTATGGGCAGACCCTTTTGTCTTCTTCGGTTCTTGATCTGTTGTTGTTGCAGGAATCGGCGACGGGTGCGGTCGAGATAGCACGTAAGCACTTTCCCGAAGTGGAGTGTAAATGGGGTGATGAGGGTCTTGATGAGATCATCCGAGATGATTCGATACCGGCTGTTGCTGTTGTTTTGGCTGGACAAGCTCAGGTTCTCTTTTGGCTGTTCTTCTTTCCCACCATAATCAATGATTTGGTAAACCAGAGTGTCGCTACCCAGAGTAGTAAATATCTCTTCAATCTGTAGCGGGCAGTTACTTGCATAGTTATAGGTGTGCACTACGAATTTTAGAAAGATGGTGGGACTAGGAGTGAGTTAAGAGAATGGCACTAGTCTTTCCTGCTTAGTATTGATTTTAATTTGGTGATCTACGGCTAATTCATGATTGATCACGTTTCATTGCCTTCTGAGCGAGCCAAAAGGCAGGGAAACAAAGCCACAAATTCTTGCTTTCTATTCATTGCCATCTGATCCTTGCCAAGTGCTTCTGTAAGTATCTCACAACAGTAACTTCCCAAAATTGTGGTAACATACTTGTGGGAATGATCCTATGGTAGACAAGGAATACACATTCCGTATCATATTGATGGTTCTATGCCATGTCTAATGAGATTATACAGAGTCAGGCCAAAAAACGAAGATGAGAATGCACAGAGGTTTAATGTTACTTTGGATGGTCATTGACTCTACAACGTTCCCCTTTTTCTGCTATGCAATTTCTAGATCCTTTAACTATATAGTACAGATTAACCAATCTTTGCCCATGGAGTCATATGCGCTAATAATCAGTTATTTGGATGGAAATTACGTGTCTGGTATTTCCGGAGAAGTAAAGGGCTCAATTTGAACTCTCCTTTGAAATGTAAGAGGTGCATATAGTTGGTTCTTGACATGAGCATGTGTCTTGTAACCCCTCTTCATGCAACATATTTTTCTTCAATGACTTGCTTCAACATATTACATTTTCGTTATGTCACTTAGGTAGTTTGTGCAGGTTGACATGGCACTCAGGCTGCTGAAGGCGGGAAAGCATGTATTGCAAGGTGAATTATGTTTTAGATGCCACGACTAAATTTGATGCCAATGGCTTTCTCTTTTGGAAAAAAAAGAAATCTTTCAGTAAGTTAGGTGAACAAGCATAGACTGAAACTCATGAAGTTTTTGCAACATGTAAATTTATAGCTGACAATATTGGTTGAAGTTCAAATACAATTATTTATATATTGTCTGTTTGTGCGTGCGCTTGCGTCAGGCAGTATAATCTGCATAGTATACGTCCATTGTGTATACTAAAAAAGTCCTTTTTTTCATTGTTTTGATGCGCTGAATCTCTTCTTGGCATACTCATTGGAACTGAAGAAAAACCTGCGGCTGCTTGTAAGTCAATGCTAAACTGGATCTATTTATTGTTTATTAAAGTAGTCATGGCGTCTCTTTATTCTTCAATTCTTTTAGTCACTAAGTTTCAAATCTATATCCATCTTAAATAAGATGAATGACCTTTTTTATATGCGCTAGCCTTAGGGAATAAATGCATCTCGTACCCATTTTGGTTTCTTGGAATTGAGTTTACATCAAGGCGTTCATTTAACTTGTGACAATTTTCTCTTGATGTGTCATTTGTTGTGTATGGCATTGGGAGTAGAAACTTTCATTTCTGCATCTTACTCAATACCTAAAAGTTTCTAATGCAATTTCCCGGTTATAGATAGAATTATTAGTGTCTCCAATTAATTGCAAGTAAAGTTGTATTTTGCAAAGTCATGCATCAATTACCTCTAAACCGTTGGTTCATCTGTGAAGCGACAACTGAGTTAGAAATGGCACTTTCAAGCTACAGAGCTCTTTGTGCCAGTTCACCCAGCAAGCCTATTTGGGCAGTAGCGGAGAACTACAGATTTGAACCTGCTTTCGTTGAGGTACTTGTTGTACTTTTGTTGATTTGCCACAGCTCTTGCAAGATCCTTATGATTTCATCAACAGTGTAAAAAACTATTGGCTGATATTGGCGATATGATGAATGTCCAAGTCATAGTTGAAGGATCGATGAACAGTTCTAATCCCTACTTTTCAAGTTCTTGGAGGCGCAATTTTGCGGTATGTGACTTTCTCTTATTTCTAGTTGGTACTTCTAATAGAACCATTTCAAAATGATATCATGCTTACAACATCTGAAGTGGCAATCGTGATTTACATTGGATTAGACATGTAATGTAAGTTTGGATCATGTCCCAATCAGTTTATATAGTTTAGGAGCTAATGCCAAAGCTACTACTTTTGCATCCACTATGATTTAAGGATCACAACACATAAAACACGAGCAATCTGGATTCCAAAGGTTCCTTTGCTTGTTTATCGTGGAATACTTTTCTGAATCCATATTCTCGTCTCTTCAATCGGAGGTCAAATCCTACTTTGATCGATATGCTCCCTTAATGCAGGGTGGCTTTATACTCGATATGGGAGTACATTTCATTGCAGG